TATGCTCCTAAGAATGCAATTTGTAATGTGCACAAAACTATTTTGAGAAAAGGAAAAATTGATGCACTGATTTGTAATGACAACAATTACATAACTTTTTTTATTTTATTTATTAGTTGTTTGTATGAAAACAAAAACTAAAGGACTAATTTGATGAGAGCAAAAGTCATGGGACTAATTTGGTGCAAAGAAAGTCTAATGAACCAACTGAATAAAAATGAGATGGTTTATATCATGAAAAGAACAAATTTGATGGAGATGCAAGAGAAAAGACGGCTCATTAAAGGACCAATTTGATGAAAACGAAAACTAAAGAACTCAAATTTAATGATAATAAATTTAAAGGACTTATTTGGTGGAAATAAAATAAAAATAACAAACTCAATGAAAATAGGAAATGAACAACTACATTCATGAAAGCCTTATTTGACATGCAAATTTGTGGTAAATGATGCTCAAATGACAAGAATCCACAATAGATATTACCTTCATGACTAATTTTGAAAATAAAACCTGCCAAATGCAGAAACAAGGTTAGCGAAGCAAAATGCCCCCTTGTGTCCTAGACACAAGAATCCTAACCTTACAGGTGGGTTTTCTAGGGAAACATGTCCTATGGGTAGTTTCTCTCTAAGTTCACTGCATGATTTCCTTGAAGGCATTAGGTTTTCTCAACCATCTATCCATGAGGAATCAATGGGAGACATTTTCAAATGCTAATATGCACAACAGTACCATGACTGTAGAGTGATGTATTAACACCTGAAAACAACCTAACGGGAGCGGATCCAACTCCTCAATACGGAAAGCTTTGGGCTAACGCGCAAGATTCATTGGGCTCCAGACTTGAGGTCAGGTTCACCTCAGATGCAAACCTAATGCATCATGAAAGTGTGAGTGTGTGTAGGGGCATGCCAATTTAATAACCATCCACAAGGCAAATAAAGAAACAATAATATCCCAAGGCAAGTAGATAAAGCATCCAATAGATATAGCACCCATAAACAATCCTACTTGCACAAAAAGAAACTCACCTAGTATTCCAATGCCAAGTGCAAAAGGTTAGTTCATAGAGCATCCAACAAGATATATATATATATATATATATATATATGTGTGTGTGTGCATAAGAAGGAAGAAACTCATTGGGTACTCCATTGCCGAGTGAATAGGTAAGTACATCCACATGCAAGTAAATAAGCTGATGCATGAACATGTGAGGAGGCACGATACATGAAACATGTGAGCAAGGTATGATGCATAACATGTATGGCACACCAAGACACAAAGGGCCAAAAAGGGAAAAAACCAAGCAGAGAATCAAGCGAACAAATAAGACTCAACAAGCAAAGACTCGAAAACCAAGGAAAAATTGAGAGGTGAAACATCCACAAGATTAAAGTATTAGCTCAACCCTGATGAACCCAAAACATGGATAAACCAAATATGAAAAGATGAGTACCAGATTACAATTAAAGAAGATTTGACTTTTGATTGGGCGATCTAACTTTAGAATAAGATTAATTAATTCCAATTAGTTAAATTAAATCTCAATTAAGGTATTCAATCATGATTAGTTAAAATTAATTATAAATAATTAACTACCTTAATTAATCTCAATTAACTTGAATCAAATCTTGATTATTCCAAACTAACTTAATCAAATTTTGATTAAAATTAATTAAACCTGATTGAAAATACTCAAGCCAAATTCTAACAAGCAAGAACAGGGAGACTAGACTCTACAGATTCGAAAAGTTTTGGGGGACTTAAACAAATTAGAAACTGAGAATTTAATTGCACAATTTTGAAAAGATGGGGATGAAATTAGAAATTAATTTTAAAAGTGGACCATTGATCCGTGACTTAAGATTAATTAGGCTCAATTAGTTAACTTAAACTCCAATTAAGGTAATTGATTTTGGTTAATTAAAATTAATTAAAGGTAATTAATCATCTTAATTAATCTTAATTAACTTAATCAAATCTTAATTAATCTGACTAATCAACGATTGATTGAGTTAATTAAAAATGATTAAGGTAATTAATTAAAAACCAATTAAATTTCATTAATCTAACTAATTAATTAATTTAATCAAAGTAATGAGTTGGGTCAAAATTAGTAGGGCCTTGGCCTGTTTTAGTTTTTAGTTGTTTTTCCGAATAAGCCCACCAGAAAAGGAGATGGGCCCGGCCCAAAGCAAAAAAAGGATTGGGTCCGAGTCAACCCAACCAGGTTGGCTTGGCCCGATAACACGACCCAGCTGCGGAATCGGGTCAAAACAAATCAAACGGGGGACGAGTGGCCGATGGACGAAGGCCGGACCCCGGATTCCGGCAACTCAAAAACTTGAAAAAAAAGGTACAAAATCCAGAAGACAGACCATGCAGATTGGTTTTAGCAGCTTTACCATCAGGAAACAAGTCTCGGTTAAGAAAATTGCAGAACCGATGAATGGCCGGAATCCGGCCAGATCCCGGCTGCATCCAGTTTCCGGCCAACCTAAAAAATTAAAAAAAATGCAGAAAAAAATCCAAAAAAAGGCCAAGGCACCCAGATTCGATTTTCAGCCAAAATGGAGGGAACCCAAAGTTGAGTTGGTCCTCCAAACACAATTTCAACAACAAAACACACACACAGACAAACAGTGAATAAGAATCAAAATCAGCAAGTTTGAGAAACATTCAATAGCAATAGACTTTAAATCTAGAACAAAATTCGACGTTTGATTTCAATAATTGTACTGAAATTACATAAAGAAAGAAAAGAGAAGAGGAATTGTTACCTGAAGCTCAGGGCTTCCCAAACGCCTCCTTCTCTCCTCCCAGGTCTCAAAAACCCCTAAGAACCCCCTATTTCTTAGCAGATTTCTCCTCCCCGGAAAAACAGGTTCTGTTTTTACAGAAAAAAGCTCAAGAAGATGAGTTTCCCTATATTTAAAATTGCTTAAAGATAAGATGATGATTTCAAAAGAGGAAAATGATGGATTTCGAAGGGGTTGAGAGGATGAGGTTTTGATGAAAGTTAAGAGATTGAGTGCCTTTTTGGTGCAGATTGTGAAAAGAGCTTTTTTGCTCGAAAAGCACAAACTGCATCAAAGGAGGCAGCTTCTCAAACGTGCTGCAACTTCCCAGAAGTACATCTTCTCTCCGTTCCTTTGCAAATCGAGCTTCCCCTTTCATGTTTATTGAAATTGACGTGGTATTTTCATTTTATTCGCATACTTCTTTTTATTTACAAAAAAACCACTATATATCGATCCAATTTATAACATCACCCACCATTACCAAGCAGCTCAAGCACATCTGTTTCTTCTTCCTCATCCAATAAAAGAAACAAACTGAAAATGCTCATCCAATCAAAGAAACAAATCGAAAATACTTAACTATCTTCATAACCATCTTCTTCCTTATCCAATCAAAGAAACAAACCGAAAATACTTATCGTATTCTTCCTCATCTTCTTTCCCCCTAAACCGAAAATTCCTCATCTTCCGTTCAAAGACGAACCCAAGAGTTGGGTTCACGGCGAACCGCGTCTTGGGTTTCGAGACGAACGCAATGCCTAGGTTCGGGATGAACCTTGCGCCTGGGTTTTGAGATGAACCTAGGAGCTTGGTTCGAGATGAACCAGACACGGGGTTCATTGCGAACCCCTCACTTCGATTCCGAGACAAACCCCATGCTTAGGTTCGTGACAAACCCAGGAGCTAGGTTCCAAGATGAACCTCACACTTAGGTTCGCAACAAACCCAAAAGCTGGGTTCCAAGATGAACCTCCTGCTTGGGTTCGCACGAACCCAAATGTAAAAAAAAAGAAGAAGAAAAAAACAGTAGAGGAAGGGGAGAATAATAACCTTTAAAATATTTATATTAATAATCATGTAATTAAATGATTTTAAGGTTATATTAATAAAAAGTTTAACTATATTATTAATTTTTGTCGTATGAATATTTCATGTAATTTAAGTAAAGAAAAAATATAAATTTTTTAATTAATATGTCCCATTAAAACTTAACGAGAAGTATTAAAAAAAATTAAATTTTTTAAACTTTAAGGATTAAAAAAAGTTTTTTTTAGTACAAAAATTAAAAAAGGATTTTTTTAAAAAAAAGTAAAGGA